GGCTCACTGCAACCTGTGCCTCCCGGGTTCAAGAGATTCTCCTGCCTCAGCCTCCCGAGTGGCTGCGATTACAGGCATACGCCACCACGCCCAGCTAACTTTGTATTTTTGATAGAGACGGGGTTTCTCCATGTTGGTCAGTCTGGTCTTGAACTCCTGACCTCAGGTGATCTGCACACCTTGGCCCCCCAAAGCGTTGGGATTACAATCGTGAGTCACCCAGTCCAGCCAATTCACCAGCATCTTTATCACCTTTCATTCCTGCACAGGCTCTTAGGCAGCACATGATTTCTGTTGTCACAGATGAAATCACCACTAGTGAGTTAGGGAAAGGACTCCAATAGCTGAGCACTTTGTCCACTCTTCCCTCTACAGCATGTTCCAGAAGTCAGGGTCATGTTGACTCTTTTTAAGCTGAAAATAGTTTCTTCTTTCCCTAAAAACCAGATGTGAGGCTGGGTGTAGTGGCTCACGTCTGTAATCCCAGCATTCCCAGCACTTTGGGAGGCCAAGGTGGGTAGCTTACTTGAGGTCAGGAGTTCAAGACCACCCTGGCCAACATGGTGAAACCCTGTCTCTACTGAACATACAAAAATTAGCTGGATGTGGTGGCACATGCCTGTAATCCCAGCTGCTCAGGAGGCTGAGGTGGGAGGATTGCTTGAACCCGGGATGTGGAGGTTGCAGTGAGCAGAGATCATGTCACTGCACCCCAGCCTGGGCAACAGAGGGAAACTCTGTCTCAAAATAAACACAAAAACAAAAAACCCAGATGTGAATTGGCTTTTCTACTTGAAAATGGCTCTAATTAACAATAACAAAAACGCAGATATGTATAAAACACATAAATTTCTGTAATTTCCTTGCTAGTATTCTACTAAATTTTGAGTACTTAACACTGCTATTATTTTTCTGTGTGTGTGTTGTGTCTATGCACATGTGCCCCTCTTAAACTAGAAACTCCCAGGAGGCAAGTGTTTTCCACAGGGTGTTCCCATGGGGCTGGGAACACAGATATCTGTGTACGAGGAAGGCATCATCACACATAATGAGGCTGAGTCTGAAAGAAGCACTGAGGGCAATCGGTGCCTATGGAGGGAGCAATCAGTTGTGACCAGGGTAAGTGGTCTTGAGGAAGAGAAGTATCATTTCAGTAGATTATAAGAGTAGAAGTGCTTTTCAAACACGGCGGCAGTGAGACGCCAGAAGCAGGTGGAAAGGAGGAGCTTGTGGGATCCCAGAGGAGGCAGCATTCAGTTATCTTGTTGATGATGAGTATGCTGAGACTCCCTGGAGGTCTGAGAGCCAGTCTGTATCTATTTCCTTTTTTAATAGGAAGCCAAGCCTAATACATCATCCTTCCCGGTCTGCTATTGGGAAGCTTTGTCTCTTTCTTCTCCAGAGATCATTAGCTCTCGCTACCACCACCCTCCTGGGGAGGGCAGGAGGACATCATCAAGGGAAGAGACATTAAGGATTAATCACCCACATACACATGTGGCCATCAGAAAATGGTTACTAAGATACTTGTCATATAATCTGAGTATTTTTGTTCCCATGATGGTAAAAGCCCAGTTGATTATCAGACTAATCAGAAGGAGAAACAAACACGTGACTTTTGGCGTCACCTGAAATTGTGTGCCTTTCCTTATAAAAATTCAAAGCATTTGCCTGAATGCTGAAGCAGGCCCTAGGATTCACAAACCAGCTGACTTGTCAGCAGCCATGGACTGAGCAGTGCTTGAGATGTGCCTCTCTTATAAGAAGCCCTGAGTGCCTCCCAATGAGCAAGGCCAATCCACTCAATCTGATTGCTAGACAAAGCCTGTTCCAAAAATTTCATAGCGCCCAAAAGACAATGAGACCCCTCTGGATAGTCTGGGGCTGTGACATCTGCAGGACCCTATCTGTGGCTCTGTCCAGGCAGCTGAATCACTCTTTTTCCCCTTTTCCTCCTACCTCTCCCCTTTTAGTCTAGAAAAAAAAGTTGTTAACTAAAAGCAAGCCCTAGGATTTGACATTCCACTGGCATGACATGAATGATGTTTCAAAAGATAGAAATGGTATCGAAATTCTCAAAGTATATTTGAGGATTTTCTGTTAGACTTCTTAAAATTACAAAGTTTGGGCTAGGCACAGTGGCTCACGCCTGTAATCCCAGCACTTTGGGAGCCCGGGGCGGGCAGATCACCTGAGGTTGGGAGTTTGAGACCAGCCTGGCCAATACGGTGAAACCCCATCTCAAAACAAAAAATTACAAAGTTTGTTAATCCCTACTATGTGCATAGGAAGCTCTTCAGTACTGTGGAGGATGAACTGATATAAATGCAATTGCTTGTCCCCAAGGAGCCTACTTCAGCATATTTAGAGCATCTTGGTTGAATTTGAGGGAAGAGAGATGACTAAGACATGGTTCCCACCCCTAGGCAGCTTCCTGATGAATGGAAGAAGCAGACATATAAACAATCAGCTAGACTCTACGGCAGAATGAGGTAAGTGCTAGAGGTCTAAGTAATGGATGAAAGAGGGAGGACTAGGCTGAGTGTGGTGGCTCACACCTATAATCCCAGGATTTTGGAAGGCCGAGGCGGGAGGATCACCTGAGGTTTGGAGTTTGAGACAAGCCTGGCCAACATGGTGAAACCCCATCTCTACTAAAAATAACAAAAATTAGCCAGGTGTGTTTGTGCATGCCTGTAGTCTCAGCTACTTGGGAAGCTGAAGCAGGAGAATTGCTTGAACCCGGGAGGTGGAGGTTGCCATGAGCTGAGATTGCACCACTGTACTCCAACCTTGGCAACAGTGACTCTCTGCAAAAAAAAGGAGGACTAACTAGGGAGACTCATGTAAGACTGAATTGTGAAGCAGTATCTGGCAGCATAGGACCAAGCACTCAGTGGAGGAGTTGAGGGAATAAATAAAAGAAGTCAGAGAACGGAGATTATTGGGAGATCTGAGGGTTCCTGAAGGATTCTTCTGGGAAGAGGGTCTTCATAGAGAAACTTTCTAGCTGGACAACTTCCTGCATAACCTGCTCCCCTAACCCTAGCTGCTCTGCCCGACAGCTTCCTCCTGCATCCCTGGGTTCTGGCCCTGAGTTCTCTCCCTTGATTTCATGTCTTCTCCCTTTGAGATTAGAAACCCAGATTCTAGGAATTTCCACTGTTATGGCAGTCCGGTGATAATGCATGGGCAGGGCCATAGGAGGTTACCTCATTCACGCCCACCTTTCTCCATCATTCCTTATAGGGAAATCCAGGGAGCCCCAGGCTACCCCACCACCTCCTCTGGCTCAGACAAACCTGTTGCTGACCTGTCAGGTTCTGTCTAGCCCTGCAGCCCTACACTTTAGAAGTCATTGTTTATTTCTCTTATTGTCAAGTGCTCATTCCTCAGAAAATGACTTGGACTAGGGAGAAAGACACTTAACCCCTTTCCATCCACCTCTTTAAGAAAGGGACTGTGTGCCAAAGACACTCCCATATGTGTGAAGAAGGGGCTCTTGGGAGAATGTGAATTCCCCAGGATTCCTTTGAATACCTTTGTTGGCATTTCCTTCCCCTGTCCTCAGCAAGCACTGAAGAGCCCCAGTCCTGCAGAGGTTGAATCAATTCCTTGCCTCTAGGAAAAGATGGCTCCTGAGGTCAGAGGTTGGGCAGTGTACCTACAACACCAGTTCTTGGGATATCACATACTTGGAATGCCAAGGCCTTGTGTCTGAATCTATTGATAGTCCAGTGCTACACTGCCAGCTCCCCTGTCATTACCACCCCCTCTACACGTGCTCCATAGGCAGGAGCTGTTACTATGGAAATACATTATTTTTAAAAACAGACACACAGCCTGGGCTTGGGAATCTCCGGAACAAACCTACACGAGCAAGGAGGTTAATGGGGCTGTTTCTGGGTCCAAGCTCCAAGAGGAAGGAGGGTGATGGTGGTGGAGGGAATTCAATATTCCCTGTTCTATTCTCAACCTCTCCCAGCTTCAGGTTCTGCTTTCTCTCTGTTGACATCAGCTGGACCTCTGCCAGACACTTTTGTCTGGGAGGGATGCTCTGCACCTCCTTACCCTGGGCCTAGCTTTCCCCGGGAAATGAGAAGCTAAAAGTCGCTGAGTCTGGGGGTGTTGGGAGAAGGGGGCGGTGATTTCCAAAGGGGTCACCTCCTTCTTAACCTCACAGGCGCCTGACCTGTAGAAATCTAACAATAACAGGGGAAAGCAAAGGCAGCATCTTAGGTAAGTGAAGTTACTCTTGCCGTGAGCTGAGAGCTGTGTGGGAGCACCGCGATTGCAGGATGGGGCGAGATGATCAAAGATCCCGCCTATTTTCAACCCCGGAACCTCCTCGGCTCGCAGCTAGCCCTCCCGCCCTCCTCAAGCGAGGGAGCGCCAGGCTGGCCTGGCCCCACCCGGCCCGGGTGCGGCTCCTTTAAGGGCGGGTGGGGGCGGGGCACCAGCGATGTTGTCAGTGTCAGCTCTGCGCACGCAGCCCTCCCGGAGCCGGTGCCGGCCCGCGAGCCCCCGCGTCCCTGCAGACCAGTCCCCTCCTGGGTCTGGCGGGCCCCGCGCCGTAGGAGGAATCGGGCACTGGCCAGCGACTCACTGGGGTCCGGCTGCAGACCAAACTAGGAGGGACACCGGCCACGGAGACAGAGACCCCGACGTCGCGACCCCCGAGGACCTCCTCTCCTCGCTCTGTGGCACCCACTAGTCCTGGGCACTCAGCCGCGGAGAGCCCCCGACCCCGCGCCCCCAGCCCCGGGGGAGCCCGCCCTCGTCCCGCGGCCAGCCCGGGCCATGCTCCCCCGGGGCGGCGACTGAGCCCCAGCCGGGACGGGACCGGGACCGGAGCCCGCGCGGAGCATGGATCCGGGCTGGGGGCAGCGGGACGTGGGCTGGGCGGCCCTGCTGATCCTCTTCGCCGCCTCGCTGCTCACGGTGTTCGCCTGGCTGCTGCAGTATGCCCGAGGCTTGTGGCTGGCGCGGGCCCGGAGGGACAGGGGCCGGGGACCCGCCTTAGCCGGGGAACCCGTGGGTTCCCTGCGGGAGCTGGGCGTGTGGCGCTCGTTGCTGCGGCTGCGGGCGACTCGGGCTGGCGCCCCCGAGGAGCCTGGAGTCCGAGGCCTCCTGGCGTCACTCTTCGCCTTCAAGTCTTTCCGGGAGAACTGGCAGCGGGCTTGGGTGCGAGCGCTGAACGAACAGGCCTGCAGGGACGGGGTGAGTTGGACCAAGCGCCTGGGTGGTCCCTTCAGCTTTTCCTTTCAGGATAGAGACTTACTGCTCATGTTAGGAGGGCGGATGGGGGTGGGCATCAACTGAGGAACCCCATGGCTTCTCTTCCCCTCCCGGAACAGAGAATAGGGTGCCTTTGAGGCTGGAGGTTGTAGAAATCCAACTGGGTCCCCAAACCTCCATTTCTGTGGGCAAAGTACTCTTTGGCTCCAAACCCATGCACAAGTTGCTGTTCTCATAGCAACGCTAATCCCTGTGCCTGAGGGCACTTCCGCCTTGCCTGGGTGCTGGTTGTGTTGGGGCGTGGGAGACAGATGCACCTGCAGAAGGAATTTGTCTGCTTCTCATGCCATCACACCCATTTAACATTTCATGCCCCAAATCCCTGGTGTGGTCAGGCAGATCCCCAAGGAGCCTGAATCACCCCCCTACCCCACAGTAATTTCACTGCCACAGTCAAATACATCCTTCATGCTGGCCTACGGTTCATTGCGGGGTGGGGGAGTGTTCAGGTGGAGAGCAGATTGACAGTACCTTTACCAGTAGATGAGCTTGGAGCTGTCCCTTGAGGGTCAGTCATAAACCAGCCCAGCCTACTTCCTCCCATTGCACCATGGGCATCTGGCCTCCCAGGAAGTGGGGCAGGAAGCGTGGTCATGAGACGGAGATAAGGTGGGAGGTAGAAGTCTCTCTTTTCTGGAGCTTCCTCCCATCCTGGCCCAGCAATCCATCTTTGCTCTCACAGTCTATCAGCTCCTTGCTCAGAGGGTTCTCTATTCCAGCCACCATCAGTTTGGAGGCTTTACTTTGCTAGTTCCCTAGATGCCTGGAAACAGAAATGGCCACAAGAAATTGCTCTATTTCCTCTGCCCAGCTGGCCAACTGAAAGCCAGATGGCATCTGTCAGTTTATACCTTGAACCCACCTCTTCATCCAACTCTCCCTGTACCTTGTCCCTGGGTCAGAAGCAACTCCCCAGGATAGCTGACTCAGCTGGACATTGGCCTCCCTTGCAGGGGGTGGGGAGATTGAGGTTTCAAGCATCCATCTCCCTATCTTCCTTGGCCTAGTCTTTGAATGAGACAGCTACCAGAGCAAAGAAGTTGGCTTCCCCTGGTTTGCCAGGCAAACGAACCCTGTGGATTTGTTTTCTTCATCTCAAGACCCCAGGAAGAGTTGCCAGCCCATTCTGTGCCCCTTCCTCAATTCTGTGTCTGCACTACTGTCCTGGTGGGGCTGGAGTAGGTTGCTTCCATTACTGTGGAAGAATTAGGGAGCAGCTCTTTTGAGATCTAAGCAGCTTTCTGCTCTCTAATACCATCCTGCTATCTGCCTTGAGGAATTAGCCAGGCCCCTGAACTCTTGAGTCCTCTGAGCTTGTATCTCTTCGCAGTCCCCCTGGTACAGATCCCCAAGGCATGCTAGTCTTCATCTCCAAGAATACGAAGAGTCATACGCTTGAGCTTCCATATCCCATTTATTTGGAAGAAGGCTCAGCTTCATTTCTCCAGCTCTTATCTTGGACAAGTTGGCTCTACCACTTTTAACTGTGACTTAGCCCCTTCCCACTCTGCCCAACTAGTATATGTAGGTGGCAACTAGCACCTTAACTTTTTTTTTATGTACAACTTTTTTAGGGGGTAGGGTGGGAGATAAAAGGGATGGTGGGGAGAAGAAGGAAGCTCCTGGTATTTCAGGAGGAAGCCAGGGTCTTCAGCCAAGGTGATCTAGTCTCTGAGGTGGACCAGCTCCCCATTGCTTAGTGGCTCCCAGCAGCCGCAGGTCCTTGGAGAGGCAGGCTTTGAGGGAACTACCTCCTGTCCTAAAGCCCTGAGCCAAGGAGGGGCCAGAAGCCAGCCTGCAGCTGAGGCCTCCGCAGTGGCAGAGTCCAGCCAGCAACTGAGCAGGCCAGCTCTATGGGGGGCAGCTCCAGAGACCTGATCCTGTGCCCACATTACTCTCTCAGAGCTCCATCCAAATCGCCTTTGAGGAGGTGCCCCAACTCCCACCCAGAGCCAGCGTCAGTCATGTGACCTGCGTAGACCAATCCGAGCATACCATGGTAAGGGTCTGATGGGCACTGCCCTCTTTGGGGTCCAAGAAGGACTGACCCCAAGGGTTCCCTTTAGTCCAGAGGGTCTTAACCTGGAGTTTGTTAATGCTTTATGGATCCAAGGATTGGCTTCAGAAGTCTGAGAATACCATTGAAGTTATGTGCAAAATGTTAGATGTGTGTATATCTGCATTTTTCTGGGGAGAGGAGTCTTTGGCACTATCTGATTCTTTTAGGGATTTATGATCCTGAAAACATGAAGTCCCTAGGAAAATGGAAGGTGGGAAGGGTCTCTGCTGGACTATTATAGGTCAGGACAAATCAGGGTGAGCACCCTTCCCCCACATCTGACCCACCTCGCCGGTCTCAGGTGCTGCGTTGCCAGCTCTCTGCTGACGAGGTGCGGTTCCCAGTCTCTGTGACCCAGCAGTCCCCCGCTGCCATCTCCATGGAGACCTACCACGTCACTCTGACACTGCCACCAACACAGGTAGAAGGGGATGTGGGAAACTGAGTTGGGCAGGGGGCGGTTCCATTAGCTCAGCTTCTTCCATTTGTTTCCTCTCTGGGATGGAATTCAGGAAGGGTGGGTCCTCAGGAATTAGGAGTCCTTGGGGAAATGGGACAAGTCAGCCCAGTCACTTTGTTCCTGTCTGTAGTTGGAAGTCAACCTGGAGGAAATCCCTGGTGAGGGGCTGCTCATATCCTGGGTCTTCACCGATCATCCAGATCTCAGCCTGACGGTGCTTCCCAAGCTGCAGGCCAGGGAGGTGAGGAGGAAGGGCTGATAGAGAAGAGGCAAAACAGGGAGGGGAGGCACAGCTGGGGTGTCCACCTCCTTGTTCTCTTCTCCTCTCTGCAGAGAGGTGAGGAACAAGTAGAGCTCTCAACAATTGAGGAGCTGATCAAGGATGCCATAGTCAGCACCCAGCCAGCCATGATGGTCAACCTCAGGGCTTGCTCTGCCCCCGGAGGCCTGGTGAGTTGGCACCCAAAGCAAAAGATTTGCATGCACCTTGTTCCCAGGGTGCTATGTCAGGATTCTTGCTCTTTGGACCTTCTTCTGGTCTTAGGTACCCAGTGAGAAGACACCCATGATGCCCCAGACCCAACCAACCATTCCCAGACCTACCCGGTTATTCCTGCGGCAGCTTCGGGCATCTCACTTGGGAAATGAGCTGGAAGGTGAGAGCTAGAAGTGGCTGTGGGACTGCCAAGGCTATGGTTGGTTGCAGGTGCTCTCTGCTCCTCTGCCAAGGGTACAGCCTCTTTATGCTACAGTGACTTCCCATCTTTGATCTGAGTGTCTTCTAACTTCTGGTTCTTCACAGGCACCGAGGAACTGTGCTGTGTTGCTGAACTTGACAACCCCATGCAGCAGAAGTGGACCAAGCCTGCAAGGGCTGGACCCGAGGTGGAGTGGACAGAAGACCTGGCACTGTAAGGAGTAACCCTGCCCCGACCCCATGCTCCAGAGCAGAGAGGATCAAACCCTTCCAGCACAGTCCTTGCAAGAATCAGCTCTGTTTTCCATAGCCTTTGGTGTGAGCCCCTATTGCATGCCAGGCCCTGGTGTGGGTCTTAGGGATTCAGACATGACCAATATACAGCTTCCATCCCAGGGTCAACGACAAGCTTGAGGCAGAGACAGTTGGACATAAAGGAGATGGTACAACCTCGCCAGTTGAGGTTTATATAATGTGCTGTTGGAGTGCCTAGTGGGGGAGGGATTAATTCCCGTGAGAGAATAAGGATCAGAGTAGGCTTCATGGAGGAGATGGCATTTAAACCACACCTAGGACAAGAGTAGGATTTCATCAGAGTGTAAAAGTGTTCTCAGCAGAGGGAAGAGCTCGAGCAAATGAAAATGGGTGGTTTGCAATTGAGAGACTGGCAGGACAGGAGGAGCAGGGCCAGGGAGGATTTGAATGAGCAGCTGAGGAGCATGGTTTTCACTCGGGCCCTGTCCCTTTCTCTTGGGACAAGAGAGAGTTTGGAGGGTAGGAGAGTCTGATTGGAGCACTTGTACCATTTTATTTATGTACACAGCTCTCTGCCTCTGGCCTGTGATCCACTCAAGGGTGGGTTCAGCTTGCAAATCTTCCCCTTCCTACCCCATCTCCTCTTGTTCCATAGGGATCTGGGCCCCCAGAGCCGGGAGCTGACCCTCAAAGTGCTGAGGAGCAGCAGCTGTGGAGACAGTGAGTGTGGGGCAGAAGGGATACCCCTGGGTGGGTGCAGAGTGGTACCTGGCCGTGGCCCAGCTCACAGTGCCATCTCTTTCCCCAGCCGAACTCCTAGGCCAGGCCACACTGCCTGTGGGCTCCCCCTCCAGACCGCTGTCTCGAAAACAGGTGTGCCCACTCACCCCAGGGCCAGGGAAAGCCCTGGGACCAGCAGCCACCATGGCAGTGGAGGTGAGAAGCTGAGCCCTGGGAGAGGTGGGAGGACACAGGGGATGGGCAGTCTCTGAGGCCCTGCGTCTTCTCTCTTCCACCCGTGGGCAGCTTCAGTACGAGGAGGGCTCTCCCCGGAACCTGGGTACTCCCACCTCCTCCACTCCACGCCCCAGCATCACACCTACCAAGAAGATTGAGCTTGATCGGACCATCATGCCCGATGGCACCATTGTCACCACAGTCACCACCGTCCAGTCCCGGCCCCGTATAGATGGCAAATTAGGTAAAGAGAAGGAGCCTGGGAGTCCAGCTCTAGCCAGGGGCTGGGGACTGCAGACCCAAGGCGGGACAGTGAAAGAGGAGAGAAAGTCTTAATTCCAACTTCCTCTGTCTTCAGATATTCCATTCCAATCCTACCACATCATCCTGCCAATCTTTGTCTCTCTCAAATTTTCCCCTACCTCCTGCCATTTCCACAACGATTCCTCTCACTCTGCCACCCTTCTGGATCCTCCTGCCCCTCCTCACACAGGACTCTTGCACTCCCACCTTCCATCTTTCCCTCTGGCTTTTCACAGGTCTCTTTCCTTCCCTGTCCTTAGCCCCAGCTGACCATAATTGTCCATCCCTCTGCCCTCAGCCTTCCAGCACCCCCTGGGGTCCTCCAACAAACCCAGAGGCCTCTGTGGCATTTCTGCCCCACTCAGTGGGCCCCCATGACACTTCTGCCGTCATAGGGGCCCCATGGAATTGCCCCTACCTCAGGACACCCCAGTACCCCCCCATTCCCTCTATATTTTCATAGCATCTCTCCACACCCTCATCAGGTCCCAGCACTTTCCTACACTCCCATTGGCTCCTGGGGTGTCTTTTAGTCCCCTGGTATCTTCTTAATCACCCTTGTGAATTAATCACCCGTTAATCATTCTTCCCCTCTGAGTCACCCAAAGTCTGCATCTCAACAAAGACAGTAGGGGTGGGGGCCACTCTGAAGCACCTCCCAGCTCACTGACCCTCCCCCACCCACCAGACTCCCCCTCCCGCTCCCCGTCCAAGGTGGAGGTGACTGAGAAGACGACAACTGTGCTGAGTGAGAGCAGTGGCCCCAGCAATACCTCCCACAGCAGCAGCCGTGAGTGGGGAATGGGGTGCATGAGTGTGGGTTGGCCCTGGTGCCCCAGCATCAACAAGTACTCTGGGTGGGACAGGAGGAGTTTGAATCCAAGAAAGAGCCAGGGAGAAGTCAGGTTATCCATCCTCTGCACCCCGCCGCAGGGGACAGCCATCTTTCCAACGGCTTGGACCCTGTAGCAGAGACAGCGATTCGCCAGCTGACGGAGCCCAGTGGGCGGGCGGCCAAGAAGACACCCACCAAGCGCAGCACTCTCATCATCTCTGGTGTTTCCAAGGTAACAGGGCTCTGGGGAGAGGAGCTGGGATGGGGAGAAAGCCCTAATGGGTCACTCCTGCCCATGAAAACTTGTCCCTTCTGCCAGGTGCCCATTGCTCAGGACGAGTTGGCACTATCCCTGGGCTATGCGGCATCCCTGGAAGCCTCAATGCAGGATGATGCAGGGACCAGCGGAGGTCCCTCTTCACCTCCCTCAGACCCACCAGCCATGTCCCCAGGACCCCTAGATGCCCTCTCCAGTCCCACGAGTATCCAGGAAGCAGACGAGACAACCCGTTCGGATATTTCTGAGAGACCGTCTGTGGATGATGTTGAGTCGGAAACGGGGTCCACTGGTGCCCTGGAGACCCGCAGCCTCAAGGATCACAAAGGTAGGGGGACACTGGCAGGGTGCTCGCATTTCTTTTTTTCTTCTTCTTCTTATTCTCTATTATTGACACAAATGCTAGAGCACATCTCTTCTTTTATACACATATCATGACCTGGGGTACCTTAAGCCAGTGTGCCTTCTCCTTCCTCCCCTAAGAGATAGCTGGAGTAGCCAGCCTAATTCAGCCAAGCTAGCCTGGGGGGGGACCTTGTTGCCTTGGTTCCTGGCCTGGATCTGACAGGCTTGTGATAGGAAGGGATGCCAAATTATTTCCCTTTACTTCTATTTTTCTTTCTTCCTGAGTCTAAGTGCCAGTTTTCCTGCCCTTTAAAAAAAAATTATATAAATTTATTCCCAAGCTGGGCATGGTGGCTCATGCCAGCACTTTGGGAGGCCGAGGTGGGTGGATTACTTGAGTCCAGGAGTTTGAGACCAGCCTGGGCAACATGGCGAGACCCCGTTTCTACTAAAAATACAAATAAATTGGCTGGGCATGGTGGCACACACTTGTAATCTCAGCTACTCAGGGGGCTGAGGTGGGAGGATTCCTTGGGCCTGGGAGGTTGAGGCTGCAGTGAGCCGTGATTGTGCCACTGCACTCCAACCTGGGTGACGGAGTGAGAACCTGTCTCAAAAGGAAAAATTCTTCCCTTTCATTCTGCACCCTTTCCCCCATGAGTATAAGAAATCCTATCCCAGGCCAACGCTAGGATTGTCCCTCTGGCAGCAAGACAGGCTGTGACCAGCGGTGGTAGTTCTTCTAACTTTAAAAGATGAGAGGCTTACCCTAAAACATTTTAATTCCTCCACCAGTGAGTCTGTCAACCACGGATCTATCTATTTTTTAAGCCTGCATCACTTCTTGAGATAATGAGGTTTCTACCTCCAAAGCCTGCTGGGTGAGCACCTTGCTCATTATACTGGTTCTGAATTTACCTCTTTGAAGTTTCCAGACGCATCACTTCCTGCTCATACCCTGGAATTCGGTTAACAAGTCAGTGTTAACCCACTTTTCCCCCCATGATTTATAGGCTTGTGGGAGTACCCTCTGGCAGCTTTTGTCTTCCTGTAAGAAAGAGGCCCAATCCCAGTCTGTCCGCACAAAGCAGCCGGCCCCGTGACATTTCGTTTGCGGGCGGAGTTAGGAGTGCACACAGATCCCCACAAGTACCACGACCTTTGCCTCAGGAAGGATAAAGCACATGTTTGTTTCTGCTTTCGCTTTCTTTTTTCTTTTTTTCACGAAGCCTTATGGAGGAGTATGTTTCTGCTTTCTTTCCTGAGGAAGTTTGGCTTCTGGGCCACGGAACTGATCCTGTTCCACATCCTCCATGCCTCCACTCTCGGCCGTGCCTCTGACCCGCGTCTCACCCTACCCCGTGCCCCTCTGCCTCAGCTTCCCCTCTTCCCCTGCAGTGAGTTTCCTGCGCAGCGGCACCAAGCTCATCTTCCGCCGGAGGCCTCGGCAGAAGGAAGCTGGCCTGAGCCAATCACACGATGACCTCTCCAACGCGACAGCCACGCCCAGTGTCCGAAAGAAGGCCGGCAGCTTTTCTCGCCGCCTTATCAAGCGCTTTTCCTTCAAATCCAAACCCAAGGCCAATGGCAACCCCAGCCCCCAGCTCTGAGGACCCTCCTCACCTCCTGCGCAAGGAAAGGGCACGAATTCTCAGCCCATTCCCCACCTCCCCTTCCATTCCCCTTCCTGGATCCCAAGCGCCTGGGCCAGGAAAGCCCTCTGGGTTCCAGGAAGCCCTGTCCACCCTGGGCCGTGGGGCCGATTGGAAGGATACTTGCAACGGGAAGCCCATGAGAGGTCGATACCCGTTGCCGAGGACATGGACGAGGGACTGGTGGCTGGGGGGAGAGGAGGGCCCTGTCCAGCATGTGTAGGCATTCCCCAGAAGCCTTTGCCTCCTGCTGAGCTTGGTCCCTGAGCAGAGTCCCAGGGTGCTCAGCTCTTCAGCTGACCCTTCCTCCCTTATTTATTCTCTTTTCTATTTATATGTGTGGCTTAGGACCCTCCGTGAACAGATGCTAGAGGGCATCTCTCCCAGGTGACCCTTCTTTTCTGTCCTAGGAGGGTGGGTGATTCCCTTTGGGATGGGGCTCCCACACCTCCCTCAGGTCCCCACTCAGACCAGCACCAGTGTCTGCCTCTGAGAATGTTGGCAGCTCACAGAGAGCAGGGCCGGCTCGGGATGGGGGGCAGGTACTCCCCACCTCCCTGCCTCCCCTCCTGCTCCTCATTCCTCCCTCCCCGTTTATTACCGTTTTTTTGTACTTGATGCCTTCTCTGTGAGCAGTGGCTCTGTGGGAAGGAGGGAGCCTGGAGCCTGGTGGGAAGCCTTCCCCAGAGAGATGGCTTTAGGGGCTTTATTTAAAGACTGATGATGAAGCCATGCGAGGCTGCACTTCTGTGTGTTGGGAGACGATGATGATGTCCATTGCTGTGTGATGGCTTGGAATTTAATTTATTAAAGTCAAATTGAAGTTTATAAACTAGATAACTGGTTATCCTTTGAAAGGCAGTGGGCAACCAGGCTGTGACAGAGATGGAGTGGGAGGATGAGAGACAGGGGCCCAGATAATGAGGTTGGGTAGATGACATACATTGTGGATCTGCTGAGAAGTCCCTGCAGAGAAGAAGGGATGGAAGAGGCAGGAGGCTCGAGTGTGAAGCTGTAGCAAAAAAGTCAATAGACTAGTACAGGTAAGTCTTCATTCCCCCTTCTGGAACAGGCTTCTCCTAGGATATAATGGAGTTCAGCGCTTGGACTCTGTAACTAGACTGCCTGCCTTGGTTTGAGTCCCAGCTCCTCTAATTACCTGTGTGATCTTGGGCAAGTTAGGTAACCTCTGAGTGCCTCAGTTTTCTCATCTGTAAAATGGAACTTCAATCATCATAGCTATCATTTGGTTGTGGGTGAGAAGTAAATGAAGTGCTGAGTAAGTGTTTACTGTTGCCCGAGAAGAAACAGTGGGAGGGGGAAGTCTTAGAAGTGTTTCAACATAAAAAAAAAATTCTCTCGTTCTGAAATGGGGGTACATTTCAGGGATTTGTAGATCCTAGCAAACTCTATGTCACTGGTGATCTTATACAGAACTTGAACCAGGTAAGCTGCTACAGGATATTGGACAGAATGCAAGACCAGGAAGCAAGAAAACTGAGTCTGCCACAAACAAACCAAGTGATCTTGAGCAGGCAACTTCTCCTTTGTGGACCTGAACTTCCTCATCTTGAAAATAAGGGTGACCTGGATAATCATTCAGGTCATATCCCACCTTGACATTCTATGACTAACTACATCTCAAGGTGTTTAGGGCACATGCTTTTGGGTAGATAGCACATGGAAATTGTTACTATTCCTCATGCTCCTGTCCATACTACTCACCAAATATAAGATATCTGGGAAGAAAAGAGGGTATGGATATTTGGTTATGTTTTTTTTCAATTAAGTAATTTGGTTGGGGCCAGGTGCAGTGGCTTATGCCTGTAATCCCAGCACTTTGGGAGGCCGAGGTGGGTGGATCATGAGGTCAGGAGATCAAGACCATCCTGGCCAACATGTGAAACCCTGTCTCTACTAAAAACAAAACAAAAAATAGCTAGGCATGGTGGTGCACGCTTGTAGTCCCAGCTACTTGGGAGGCTGAGGCAGGAGAATTGCTTGAACC